TACGCAAATAGACCGTAACCTGGAGTAACACATAGGTTAACTGTTAGGTAGGGACGTACCGTATGTAATAAATAAATTATAACTACATATGGAAAAGTGAAGTTAACCCAATTGTTATCCCGGAATTTATATACTATACAATCAATATATATACAGTTTTGCGCACTAAACATCCCTGTACCCTGTCAGTGAATATCCCAATTCTGTCTTCAGATCCCGCAATTTTTCGCATCACTAGCTTCAAGGTTTCGAATTTGCATTTGTTAGTCTTAGCTATGTCATTTATTGAGTGGGAGGGTGAAGCTATTTTTTGTTTGTTTTCGCTTGTTTATTAAATATTGCGACAGATTGACCTTTCAATATTGTTTTGTTTGAGCAATATTATAAAGGAAATTTAATTGAATCGGTATTAGAAGTTGGATTTCGTTTGTTGAGATTGTATAGAATTTATAATATCCTATAGAGAAATATAAAATATCTACATTGTTTCTGTACATAGAAATTAATAGTCATTAAATATACAAAACTAGCAAAAGTATATATTTTTTCTTTTCTGTATATAAAATATTCGTATGTATAGATGTATGTAAACCTTGAATTTTAAATCAATTCGTATTGTTTAGCATTCGACCCGCGTGTGTCCGGAACACTTAATTAAAACTCAGACTGCATGTTGAGTCAGTTTTTGGTAGCATTATAGTATTTTTGGTAGATTATAATAATATTAAAAATATAAATATAACTTGGTTTTTCTATTAAGTTATTATTCTGTTCCATAAAAGATGAACGATTGATGTTCCTTTCAGTTTCTTTCGCTAGTACTTTTCAGACTGACTAAAAGACTTGCTGTTTTTAAGTTGTACCTAACACTGTTATCCCGGGTCTTGTGATTGGACTAACTTTGTCGGATCACCCAATGATTTGATAAATCAAATTGGTTTTTTTTTGTGTAATTTTTAAGGCACTAGTTTTTGGGGCAGTTTCTCTAAGATAAACAGCGTTTTTAATGGTGTATGAAAATCTTTAGATACAACGTGATCATTGATTGTACACATGATAGGTTAATTCAATAATTTCATTAAAAAGCACGTTAAGCTTTATTCATCTTCGCTAGCTTCCTTCCTTCAAGACCTTTCCTTGAGTGATTTCTCAAAGCAGTGGTAGTCCAGTCGAAAGGTTGGGAAAACTTGGCCTTGGGAAACCAAGTAAAGCGGGTTCAAATCCCGGGCCTGGCGTTTTTAATGTTTTCATGTGCGTATAAATTCCAGTAGGACGTTAAAAAAGGACTGAATTCGTAGCATTCTGTAACCAATAGATCGAAGACGTCAAAAATATAAATAAACAAGCATTTAATATATAAATAACATAAACAAATAAATAACACGAAATTCAATTATAAATTTTATCATAATCAACAATTTGTACTATGATTGATTCATCACTATGACTCATGCGCAAGCGCACGGTCTAACCGCACTCGACTGAATCATCGATACCTAACGTTCAATAATGATTTTACCTGGTTTTTACTGTAATTTTTTCGACGAATACTGTTTTTTCGTGCTGTGCTATCGTTAAGGTCAATTAGACGTTGATTATTAAGACCCAGTTAGCAAGGTTGTATTTTGAAATATTAGTTTAAAATACTGTTCTTTAGTGCGACTTTTCTTGACCGAAGTGTGGTTTTGTTTTGAAGTAACCAGTTCACATATGAGCTGCTTTAACCATGTCACATAAGAGTATAATGTTAAAAATATTGCATTAAAGATAAATATTGAAAATATACTACCTTATTTCTAATTTATTTATGTATATAAAAATCGATGTTTGTATGAAATGGATTTTGCATAGCATGTTCTCTATGGAGTCAAAAACGGTTGGAGCGATTTCGATGAAATTTTTAGGCAATCTTAGATTAGCCCCGCTTAGGTGATGCTAATTTTATATAAGTATACTTAAACAAAATAATAAAATTACGCTTAAATTATTATTTAACTACATATAAATGTAGTTTAATAAATAGCATTATTTATGAAAAAGTGTTATTTTGAAGCTTACATAATAACATTTAATAATAATAAAGAAATATAAACGACAGTATAAAGAAATCATTATTATGACATGTTCTACGTAAAATCCAGTAATAATAGTACAAGAGATGTCAACCGTTTATACGCTTGATCGATCGCAAAATTCCTTTTGCGCCGCCCTTTTTACTTCATAGTTTATAGTAACTCGTTTTAGCTATTCACTTTGTCGCTAACTAGGTTTTATTGAAATTCTATTAAAATGACAGCCTTTGACAGTATTGTCTTTATTAGAGCTTTCCAGAAAATATTTTATTTTTATCCATTTTGTATGTCACTTAATTGTAGACTCTCCTTTCAAAATATTTGTTCGTAATTACAGTACATTTTTGTTCAAAAGCAAGAAGTATTACTTATTAATGATGTATCTATTCGGTACGCTCGTATTCTACTCGATTGAAATTATATATAATAGATTCCTCAGAGATGAGATATTTTCCCGCAGTAAAATGTATCTTATATGTTGACCCGGATAACCAGCTATTATCATACCAAATTTCATCAAAATCCCTCCACTGGTTTTTCCGTGATGCGGTAACAGACAGACAGACAAAAATTCTAAAAACTATAGATTCGCCCTCTGTATCGATAACAATGTTTATTTCAATAAGATTTTCCAAAAAATATTAAATGTACAGATTCGGCTTAGTTACAATTTTATTATATTATGTATAGATTTAACACAATAAATTTTAGCAATCGATCACCGACAAGTAAAAAAGGTAAAACATCCTTACTGGGTGTTACCAAGGGTAAGTTGATAGTCATATATGTATAGTCCTACAAGGAATAATATCTTCAAAAAAATATTTTCAAAAGTTAATTATAATATAAAATATGTAATTATATTATATACAAAACCGTTTTAATTTTCCTCGTACCTATTATCTAATATTCTGCGACAGATCCCTATCTGTATACCTATATAAATTTCTTTCCAAACTTTAATATACGGCTTAATCAATATAAAAGATTAAGTTAAATGGCATTGTATCTCAAAAACCTGAGGTTATATCGGATTCGATTTCAGAAGATTAAAAAAAAGGAGTAATACGAAAGTCACATAGGTATATGGACACGGACAGTAGTAGCGCTTGGGAAACTGAGTGAAGCGGGTTCAAATACTAGGTCTCGCATATCTGATATTTTTACATGTATCTAAGAATTATTTTCAACATGATTAGCACATGCCTTACTGTGAAGGAAGTTATCGCGAGGAAACCTGCATGTCTCAGAGAACCTAGCAAGTTTTTGAATGTGAAGTCCGCGAACCCGCACTTGTCCAGCGTAGTGGACTATGGCCTGATCCCCCTCGTGCTGAAGGGAGGCCCTTGCCCAGCAGTTGGATACGTTAAAAAGAGCTCCAAACATACATAAATTTTACAATACGAAAGTCATAAACTCTACTTAACATTTTTTTTTTAAAAAGTAGGGTACTTCAGTAAAATTATTTAAAAAGCATATTTTTTGCTAAGTTAATTTGAATCTCAGGAATGTAATAAGGGAAACAAAAGTACTTAAACAATGTCAGTCCACCGGCTAAAAGGTAATTTTCATTCAAACTTTGATGCGACCAAATCACAAGTTAGGCTACAGTCGTAATGTGAAATTAAATTGAGTTACTGCTATAACAAAAACATTAAAAGCTATTTATTAGTTCATCGGAACGTTTTAAAATTGGTAATTAAAAAGTTAAATTAAAAGCTGAGCTTGAAAATGCTTAATGAATTTTTCTGACAGCTTTCTAATAACTAAAGTGCATTGCTAGTAGGTACTATAAAATTCTTAGATTGTATAGATTTTTATAGCTTCAAACTACAATAAATAATGCTTTTGAATAAAATTGCTTAGAAAGACATTTTATATTCTGGATTAATTGGCTTTTTTTGGTAATAACTTTTTGAGGCGAGAAAATCCGCGGGCAAATTCTTGTACATAATAATAATTATATGTATAATGAAAGCTTTAAATTTTCTTATATTCGGAGAAAATTATAAAGGTACTCTCCGTCTCTCTCCGTCAACGGAGAACTGTAAACCTAACAGAACATTAGTAGGCACCTATTTTGTTGTTTTATTTTTATTTTATTTTATTATTTTGTTTAGTGATTATATTTTCGTAGTAAAAATTAAACTTGTATGTCTTTTTTATAGCTTTCAATATCTTTTTATCGCTGATATTCAGAGAGCGACTTAACTCCAAGAATATACTAGAAGTAGGTCGGTGAACAAAGCGACTTGTTTACATGTTCCGTACGTAACGAAATACTTTTGAGCTAACGTTTTTAAGAACAATGGTCTTTATCTTTCTACAGAACCCTGAATTTGATCGTGGGAATATAAATAGAATATGACACGTTTATATGATCTTGTTGCGTGTGCAATGTTTTGTTAATTAAAATATTATGTTTAGTTCTAGGAATTCGACGGCAAGGTTTAGTATTATATGTCTAACCGACTTCCGGTATGTGAGGTTCTCATTTTTTTATCTTGATGTATGCTACGTAATATATACTTAATGTTATAAAGAGGCAAAGTTTGTTTGTTTGAACGCGCTAAACTCAGGAACTGCTAATACGATTTGAAAAATTCATATATATATATATATATATATATATATATATATAAATGGCAAGGTTTTCTGCAAAAATAGTAGGGATGATTCTAGCATGTAAATATTTCTTTTGTCTATATTTCTCTCGATACGACGAATTGTTTTTGTTCAAACTAATATCTAAAACTACTGTTCGAACTTTCATAGCTTTTCACCAAAACAAACATGATAATATTTGTTAATTAAGCCGGAAAAAATCGTCCTTTCTAAGAACTTCCGTAATATTATACGAGTAAATTCGAAAGGCATAAAGGGATGCTAGTAAAATATAACAAATTTAAATTATTGTTTTCGTTTCAGCGGACCCTTTGCCCGGCAAGCATGTACCACTCGAAAGCTACGAGAGTGAACTGGAGCGAGAGCACGCGCTGCCCACGTCCGTCCCGAATGCAGACATACTCAAGACTAACAATAATCCCACCTATCACAAGCCCAGGTAAGTTTTGTGTTCGATTTTAAAATATTATTTTTGTTTTTTTTTTTTAAGTTATACTTCTTTTGGCACCAAAAAGCACAGCCAAAAAGCGACATGATGAAGTTTATTATGCATTCTTTTTAGAAACAGAGACTTGTGATATACGTGATGATATCTTTAGCTATTTTTGTTCTGTTTCGCCAAAGAAGTATAACTTCTTACATGTGTACATAAGTAAACGCACACGTATTTTTTTATTTGTGTAAAATATATTTTTTCACAGCTTTACTTTCAGGTTGAATAGAAATATTTTAAATGTTTTTGGGGTTTAGTGTTCGTTTATGTTTACTATGTACATGAGTAAATATTTACAAATGTACATATGTACATAACTTTATGTACTGTTTACTTTCAATTAATTTCAGTTAGGTAATTTATCAAATCGGAAATTTTATGGGGAAATTATTGGAAACTACATACCCACAATAAATTAAGAATTAATTTATTAAGTAACCTAAGTAAAAGCATTAAGTGAGTAAATATGAAAAAAATTACAATATTTACACTTAAAAACAAAAACACTCTAAAAAATCTAAACAAAAAGCAAAATCTAAAACTTTAAATTGATTAATGTACAATAGTGTAAATAACATCATGATGCCGCTGGTACCATAAGTATGTATATAAAAATTAGTCTCTTAGATACGTCTCAGTGCGTAAACAAATTTTGGTAAAACTTGGCATACACATAGCCTATAATATGGAGAACGGCATAGGGCATATTTTAACTAATGATTCCCTTATGAAAATTATCTTATGATGTAAGTCTTCATTCACTAAGTTCTCTAAGAGATTCAATAGTAATAACTATTACCATATAATAAAATTCTAACTGAATCGTATCTGTACATTAAATATTTTTTGCAAAATCTTTTTGAAATAGTCATTATTATCAATCTGTACATTGTGGCCTCCGTAGGCCGAATCTATAGTTTTAGAATTTTTGTCTGTCTGCCAACATTTAGGATACTTTTTACTGCAGGAAAAATAAAATATCTCATCAGTGAGAAATCTATACTATCCTTAAAACGTAGGGACAAACCCTAGCCAAACCGAGGGTGAGTCGCTAGTAAAATAAAGAATAAAAATAATGAGTAATATTTACTAGGATTTTAGAGTCTACTAGCATTGCCCACGGCTCCGCCCGCGTTCAGGTGACCAAAAAGCTAATTCTTAGGTTTTACATATTACTCTGAGATATATTCCCGCGGTAAAAAGTATCCTATATGTTGACCCGGATAACCAGGTATCATTAAACCAAATTTCATCAAAATCTGTCCAGTGGTTTTCTCGTGATGCGGTAACAGACAGACAGACAGACAGACAAAAATTCTAAAAACTATAGTTTCCGACTCTGTATCGATAATAATATCTATTTCAATTAGATTTTCCAAAAAATATTTAATGTACAGATTCGACTTAGTTACAATTTTATTACATATATAGATAATAGATATATATTTTATTAGTGCCATTACAAGTAAGAAAAGCAATTTTCCAAACAATCGTGAACGTAACGAAATTAAATCGTTAACGTAAATTTCAGTTAGTGCCTCTTAAAGTTAAATATCGTTTACTGGGTGTAAAAGTTTCATCCCTTTCATAGCTCAATAATAATTATACAAAGTATAAATGGATTATTGGAAGCGGTATAAGAGGTTGTTAGTGCGTTTTGGTTATTTTTACAGGTGTTAGTTTTAGATTAAATTCTCATATTTTTTTTTAGTTTAATACTAGCTTTTACTTTTACTAGGCAGTGGTAGTCCAGTTGGAAAACCCAGTGAAGCGCATTCGAATCCCGGATGTCGCACCTCTGATATTTTCATGTGCGAATGACTTCCAACATAATTACCACTTGTCTTACGATGAAGGAAAAATCCTGTCTGAGAGAAGTTAGCAAGTTTTCGAAAGACACGTGAAGTCCGTCAATCCTTATGCCTGATCCTCCTCGTATTGAAAGGAGGCCCGCGCCCAGCAGTGGACCGTTAAAAAGGGCTGAATAGATATAAACTTTTTACATTTGTCAACATTTTTACTTTTATACCTGAATTCTTGCTACATTTTATTACTTTATTTACGAGTAAAATATAGTTTTATTTGAATATGTATGATTTATTACAGAAGAACAGCCAAACATTCCACGCCTATTCGCATTTTTATTATCATTATATGTTTACAAAATTATGAAGTAGATACATCTATAAAAATCTTTTATGCCACTTCTAGTATATTTAACTTTTAGACATAAAAAAGTTATTGCCTGTTCCTCCGGATCAGTTTAAGTTTAACTGTTTTTTTACTATTGAAAGTTATTCGTAACTTTCAAAATTGGAAAAATGATGAGAGATAAGCTTTGGAAGCCCTAGAATATATAAAGTACATACATGTATACTATTGGCAGTGATGGCCCAGTGGTAGCGCGCTCGCTTAAGAAACTGTGTGAAACGGGTTCAAATCCCGGATGTCGCAACTCTGATATTTTCATGTGCGAATCATTTCCAACATAATCACCATCTGTCTTACAATGAAGGAAAACATTGTGAAGTACGCATGTCTGAGAAACCCTAGTAAGTTTTCCGATACATATTTATATATCCGACTAGCGACTCACCCGCGCTTCGCTCATGGGTTCGTCCCTAGGTTGCTTCCCCATACCAACTTTCATCCCCATTTTCATCCCCTTAAAGGATTATTTCTGGGATAAAAACTACCTTAAGTCCTTCCCAGGGTCTCAAACTATCTTCTCACCTAATTTCATCTAAATCGGTTCAGTAGTTTCGAAGCTTATTCGGTACAAACAAACAAAATAATCTTTCCTCTTTATAATATTAGTATAGATGAAGTCTTTATTTTTATTTATTATATATATGTAGGCTGATCTAGCCTTTGCCCTTGAGTTGTATATAAATAATAAATATTTATTGAAAAAAAAATTTGCTGAGGAACACGATAACACACCGATTTTATGTAATCTGTCGAAAATAAATAGCAAACACATACATATATACTCGTAGATCAACGAAATTTTTGTATTTATAGGAACGTATAATAACAATTAATTTATCAATTTGCATATATTAAGTGAGATCAAAAATTGATATTGCACACAATTGTCGATAACTTGTCGATACATTGTCGATAAATTGCCGATTAATCATTCGTTTAGTTGTTATTATGTAATCGGATTTATTTGAAAGTGAAGCTAAATAGGTTTACGGAATTCGATTTGATTGATACAAAGCCGTAGCCAATACACATCGGATGAGGCTTGCCGAATTGAATTTATTGTTTATAGGGAAAGTTCTAGTGTTATATTTTCCTAATGACACATGTATTCTCTCTACAATTACTCTACTCGCTTTGCCGGAGAGTGTGGGTTCGATTTTGTTATGATGACATTTTTATATTGTCTGTAACATATTTGTATAATATACAGAGATAACTGAAGAAGTCCATTTTTGTTATAAATAGATAGAAGATATAAAAGGCTACTTTTAAGACTCAATAGCGAAAATATCGACATTTTTTAAGTATTTTTATTAATATCGACGTTCCTCGAAATCAAGTATCGTTATAATAGATAATGCCTCACCTCACCTGTCTTTATGATCTAAAACAAAGAGAAGCCACTTATCAAAAAACAAATTATTATAAGATTTATATCACGTAAACATACCTATAATAAAATCGATTTTTGACTCTAAAAGCAACCATTTTAATCTTTATTATATCTGCACCATAACTGTGTAGGAAGTCTCCCACGCTTTAATTATATATAAATATTATTTCGAAAACATTTAACTGTTTCCTGTTACTAGATATAGGAGTATTTTTTTTATTCGCTCATATAAATCATATAAATAATTTGAATAGAATTAACTTAAAATTTTGAACATAATCGGTCTATAATATTAAATATATTATGTAAATAACATCTCAACAGAATCTATACAGGTAAATAAAATTGAAGTGTCTGTTTGTAATATCAAAATAATAACTTTTTACTAAATGAATATGAAAGTGAGAAGAAGGGTACTTGAAAGAAAAACACAAATTCTTTTTTGTCTATCTGTCTGTTTGTTCCGGCTAATCTCCGAAACGGCTGGACTGATTTTGAAGGGTCTTTCACTGTTAGATAGCTGATATTATAAGGAGTAACTTAGGCTACTTTTATTTTAGAAAAAAAAATTAGAGTTTCGCTCAAAAAAATAAAACGTACCTAGAGAAGCACCCGAGCGAAATGAGGTTAAGTCGATAATAAGTCATAAAATAATAAATCTTTTGTTCATAATTATGAAGAAAACCTTTTAAATTTAATGTAACCCAAATTGCGAACCCCTCAAGGACTACGGCTCCTATAGTTATTTCTCATTCTAAGCTTTACGTTGAAGGAAAAGATCGTGAGGAAATCTACATGTCTCAGAGAATCTAGCATTTTTCAAAGACCTGTGAAGTTTGCCATCCCGCACTTGGCCAGCGTGGTGGACTAAGGCCCGATCCCTCGCATTAAGGGAAGGCATGTGCTCAGCAAAGGGACGTTACAGAGAGCTTAATATAATTAATATGGATGGATAATAATTAATAAAAACACATAAATTTTTCGTATGTGTATGAAATGATAGAATTCATTGTCACTGTCAGTCTAAATTATCCCACTTCTGGGCAAAAAGGCTCCTTTGTTTATTGCGGTCTTATACTATTATAACTAGGCCAGAAATATGTGCTATGTTTTGCTTCTACATCGGCAACCCATCCATCTTCCACACCACATCAAAGTTGCTTAACCAGATCAATAATTGGTAAAATAGGCCACACCACATTTAAATAGTAATGCAACGATAAAATAGAAGCACGAAGCCAACGGGTTCGAAACCGCTGGTTTTTAATTAGTTTCGCCACAGCACGCTAGCTTAATAGAAATGGATAATTAAGTTCGAATCTAAACATGTGTATGAAGCGCA